TCCCCATCAACAGTGGGTAAGAACTTCTGAGAATGACCTTTTGAAAATTATCAACAGAATTGAAAATTGGTTATCTGAAAAAAGCTCAGAAAATACTAGTTTAAGAGGAGAGAAAAAACTAAAAATTTAGAGAACTCAGAGCTTAAATATCCTGATGTCAAATTCATTCTTAAGAATTTTAAGAACAGGGGATCCCTGGGTGGCTCAGTGATTTAGTGCTTGCCATTGGCTCAGGGCATGATCCTGGAGTCCCAGGATTGAGTTCCACGTTGGGCTCCCTGCATGGAGCCTGCTTCTCCCCCTGCCTGTGTCTCTGCCTCTCTCTCTGTCTTTTGTAAATAAATAAATAAATAAATAAATAAATAAATAAATAAATAAATAAATAAATAAATAAAATCTTAAAAAAAAAGGGATTTTTTAAAATATTTATTTATTTATGATAGTCACACAGAGAGAGAGAGAGGCAGAGACACAGGCAGAGGGAGAAGCAGGCTCCATGCACCGGGAGCCCGACGTGGGATTCGATCCCAGGTCTCCAGAATCGCGCCCTGGGCCAAAGGCAGGCGCCAAACCGCTGCGCCACCCAGGGATCCCAAAAAAAAAAAGGATTTTAAGAACACAATTTGTAAAATCTCTTTGAAATTACATTCTTGCAAGCTTCAAGAAATATATAAACAAAATCAACAAAAATGATAGCAATCATGTTTTTGTTTTTTAAATGATTGCTCATTCTACAATCTTGAAATATAATTTTCATGCAGAGTCTCATACAAATGATAATTAACACCTTTAATCTCTAACAATATTTATAAACACTAACAACTTTTTTTCATAAGGTAAAACAGACATGAGATAATTTCTGCTTTTTAATTGGGAAATTGAGATAATGCTATATAGTCTCTTCCTGAAAGTAGATGAAGATCAAAATTCTAAGAATATCAGTGACCTACCCTAGATCTTAGATAGAGGATCTATTCTTGGTTCCTCAACCAGTTTTAAGCCTATAATTCAATTTATACCAGTGGGATTTTTTAAATTATGTACAGTTAAGTACTTTTACTAATTCAAATATGCAAGTTCGGCTGAAATGTGCTAAGGCTAACATTCCTTCTGTGCAGACACAGGCTTGAATAAATGGGAAACAATCTGCACAGGTATATATTTGATCTGGAACAGGTTCGTTTGCGCCTGATCCCCACCCTTCCTTGCCCCTGGGAGAAATAGCTCTTCATTAGGCCATTCTGGCTGAGTGTTCCTTCAGACCCACAAGGTTAGGTTGACTCTGACCGCCCCCCCCCCACCCAGGAGTGGGGAAGCCAGAGGGCACATTACTATGGCAACTCCCCACAACAGTCCCAAGCTATTAGCACAGCACTCCCATCTCAGAGGTCACATGTAAATCCAGCCCCCAAAAGATATGAGCAGATAATTCTGCAAAACCTTATCATTTCATATATGGAAACTATAATATCCATCTCAGTGGCTGGGGATGAACACAAATCTTGCCATTTAGCTGAAGTCACTGTATATCCTGGTTTGACCTACGCAGTCCAGGTTTATACTTGTCATGTCTGTGTAACTATTAGTTGTGCCCCTGTTCTCAGTAAAAGTCACCCTAAATTAGGGGCACCTAGGTGGCTCAGTCAGTTAAGTGTCAGACTCTTGATTTTGGCTCAGGTGGTGATCTCAGAGTTGTGGAATCCAGCCCTGAGTTGAGCTCCCCGCTCAGATGGAAGGCTGCTTAAGATTCCCTCTCTTACCCTCTGCCCCTCCCCTCACTCATTCTCTCTTTCTCTCTCTCTCAAATAAATAAATCTTAAAAAAAAAAAAAAAAACACCCTAGGCTAAACAATGAATTATATGGCCATCCTACAGAAAGCCCTGTTTCAGAAAAGGGACAAGCATAAGAGAGAAACCAGAGGCAAATTTATTCACGGATGTTTGCAGGCCTACTGCTCTATGCTACCTTCCATACTTTATTCAGTGACCAGAGACTCTTTTAACAATGATCTTAAAGTCCAACTAAATAATTCTCTCCTTCAAATTTAGAACTCAGGGGTAAAGCAAACAGTAGGTCTTTTCTCTTCTTATTTCAAAGGTGCCAAGAACCATCCAGACCCTACTCTATAGGTTTCTATAGGCTACTCACACCCCTAGATGGTAACAACGTGAGGAATCCATACCTTTAACACTTCAGCTATACAATTATCACTTCTGAGAATATAACTTACAAATTCTTCCCCCAAAACGGCCCTAACTCTCCCTACCATGACGGCCATGTCAAATGAATCCAGATGCTCAAATGGAAAAGTGGCGAAAAGCACAGAGTGTCTGATGACTGCACTTGTCCATTCAACAAATATTTATGAAAAACAAAGTGGTAGCCCTTAAATCTCTGAACGCCAAACCTCAGATGTGTTTTGTTTCGTCCAGACAGGAATCTTAAATGTTTAAAATGTTTGCTAATACTTTAAAACATGAAGTCATACATAAAAATCCAGACTTCCACTCTTGGGAAATCAGAAGCTCTGGCAAAACCATGCTTGTATCTTGTTAATGCAATTTGCAATTGGCGCTGAAGAACTCCCTGGAGAAATGACCAACACTCCATGGTCCTCGGTCCTCACTTAACCTCAACCTCTCTCAACAAAATCCCAAGCATTTGAGTTTGCAACTCTGATATATGGCTGGAGATAATCCTTAATGGAACAACATCTGGCCTCTCAAATTAAGGATCCTCTACCAGGGATTCTCTGTGTTCAGAGTAAACTGGAATCCACATCTTTAGATCAAAGACTCAACTGGGAAATGGCAATGAACAGGAAGAGTTAGGGTTTTTTCTCTTTTATCAAAAGGACATATGGTTGCCACTGTTCCTACAGGATCAAAAGGGAGAAATGAGCTTAAGCATGTTATTATTCGTAAAATAACATCATACTCGGTCTCAAACACCTAAATATATAATTAAGGTTTAAAAAGAGGGGGCATATTTTTAATTGATCCCCTAACAATGTATCTGACACTGTCAAGAATTCAAGAAAGTGCCATGACCCATAAACAAACTTTAACCCTGAATGAAATCAGCAATGATGTGTCACATATCAGATCTGAAGACAATAACATAAACTTTAACATAAACTACCCAAAATCATAAAACATTCCTTACAGTCCCATAAAAATGCAATTTCTTATCTTCCTACTGATAGAACCAAAAAATCTCAATAGAAATAGTGATAACTGGGTAGCCTGGGTGGCGCAATGGTTTGGCGCCGCCTGCAGCCTGGGGTGTGATCCTGGGGACCCGGGATCGAGGCCCACGTCGGGGTCCCTGCATGGAGCCTGCTTCTCCCTCTGCCTGTGTCTCTGCCTCTCTGTGTGTGTGTCTATGAATAAATAAATAAAATCTTTAAAAAAAAATAGTGATAACTTTCAGATGAAAAGAACATGCTGCACTTCCATTTCAGCAGAGGTGAAAGCTAAAAACAAGCTTCACAAAGTGAATTTCATATCCATTACAGTTGGAATGTTGAGATAATTTTTAAAAAGGTATCTTAACATACATCTAACAGCGGTGATAGAAGTTAAAATTGCTCTCTTCATACTGGGAGTTCTGGATGTTAAGATATTAAACTAGCTTATAAAATAACTGATGAAATCTAAGACGATTTTCTTCAATTCAGCTACAGGCCTTTTGTGAAAAACTGGACAGTCTTTCAATTACAGACACTAACGAATTTTTTTTTAAGCCTCATTTTATATCTTTCTCCTTTGACTATTATTAATTGCTCGGCTGCCAAAGGAACTGCCACATTTTGCAACTGAGACTGTATATTTAGACGGTATTATTTTTGTGAAGAATCTAAAGTACTTCGCAAACATCAAAGAACTATTTTTTAGGATCGCATTTGGGGGTGGGGAGGGCTTACGGCGTAGTAAAAACTCTTTACACTTTTATTTTAAAACCAGTTTTCAGGGGATCCCTGGGTGGCGCAGTGGTTTGGCGCCTGCCTTTGGCCCAGGGCGCGATCCTGGAGACCCGGGATCGAATCCCACGTCGGGCTCCCGGTGCATGGAGCCTGCTTCTCCCTCTGCCTGTGTCTCTGCCCTTCTCTCTCTCTATCATAAATAAAATAAAAAAATAAAAATAAATAAAACCAGTTTTCAAAGCCACAATCACTGTCACAAAGTTTTCAGAGTCCTCTTGCCATTAGAGAAAGGGGCGTGCCTCTCTTCAAGGAAGTAAAAACGCAAAGTTTGGTAACAGACGACCTCAAATTTAATGCTTCTTTAAAAAAAAATGTGATGCTTCTGATATATTGTAATATCGGAGAACTATTAGAAAATAGATTTGGGCCGCTTTTAGGACACTGCTTTTTTGAATCGCCCAAGCTGGTATTGATTCTGTCTCCATCCAGTCTTTAGAAAACTGCGCCCGCGCCCGCGCGCGCCCGCACACACACACACACACACACACACACACACACAGAGTTTTCCTTCCACTCAACACCTGAACGCAGATTCCTACCGTCTTGACTATCTGACATCCTCGTCGACTAACTCTCCCCTAAACCCCGCTCCCAAATAGCCTCACAAGCCCCCAGCCCTGCGGCTGCTGCTAACTGAGACTCGGCGCTCCAGCAGGGGGAAGACGCAGGGGGCGACCCAGCGCGGGAGCGAGGGCGAGCGCAGCCCCCTGGGTCCCAGCCCTCCCGGGCCCGCCCCTCGGCCGCAGGACGCCAGCCCCGGGCCCAGGCCGGCTCCCTCCGCGGGCACGCCCCCGCCCGCCGCGTCCCCAGGGGCGCGCGCACCGCTCCCCGCCCCGCTCCGTCCCTCGGGCGCCCGCGGGGGGTCGGCGCCCGCGGGGGGTCGGCGCGGGAGCGGAGGACGCTCGAGCGCGCCACGTGGAGGGCGCGCGGCAGCCGGACCGCGGCGGGGCCAGCCTCCGCCCCAGCCCGGCGGCTCCTCCCCCGCCCCTGCCCCCCGGCCCCCCGCCGTCTTGCCTGATTGGGGTCTGTGGCGCGGAAAACGTGGCAGGCCGTCTGCGACTCGGGGTCGTCGGGCTGCGCCTTGATCAGGTAGGCGAAGTAGGTGAGGTCGTGGCTGTTGTGCACGAAGCGCGAGATGTGCTGTGCCTTGTGCTCGAAGATGAACACCGCCGGGCTGGGCTGCGCCGCCGCGGGCCCCGCGCCCCCCGCGGCCCCCGCGCCCCCCGCGGCCCCCGACGCCCGGCGCGGGGACGCAGCGCAGGAAGGGCGCGCTGAGCACCAGGAGCACCTCGCGGGCGGCCGGCGCCCCGCACCCGCCCGCCTCGGGCTTCTGGCCGCGCCGGCGGATCTCAGCCATGAGCCAGGGCAGCATGGGCAGCGTGGTCCTGCGGTCCAGGCACGACCCCCCCACGTACCACAGCCGGAACCGCCTGTCGCCCGGCTTCCCGGGGCCCGGCTGCGCGGGGGCGCCCGGCTCGGGCTCCAGAGGGTGCGGGAACGGCTCGTCCTGCACGCGGCTGGGGGGCTCCATAGCTCGCGCCTCCCCCGGCCCGGGGGCGGCCGGTGGGCGTGCGCGACCCCGGCCCCGGCCCCGACCCCGACCCGCCGCGGGAGCCGGGCCGAGCACCACCTCGGCGCTTCAGCGGCCCTGCCCCATGCGGCACTTCCCCCGGGGCGGCTCCCCCGCGGGGCGCCCCGCAGCCCGACTGGCGCGGGACGGCGGGCTACGCCGTCATCCTGCCCCGCGGGGCTAGCGCCCGGGCCGCGCCGCCGCCTCGCTCCCTGGCTCCCTCGCTCCCTCCCTGGCTCCCTCGCTCCCTCCCTGGCTCCCTCGCTCCCTCGCTCCCTGCCCGCGCCCCGGGCCCCGCCAGCTCCCGCGCTGCAGAGCCGCTGCGGCCGCCGCGCTCGGCCGGGGCAGGCGGGGAGGCCGGCGGGGGCGGGGCGGGGAATGGGCCGTGGGCGGGCGGGGTGAGTCGGGGCGGAGCTGACTCCTACCCGGGTGACCGGCTGTCACCTGGAAGGTCGGGGCCGCGGGCTTCGGCGCGCTCGGTCCTCGGGGAGGGCCTGCGCGTTCTGTCCCCCTGGAGACTGGCGACACCGCCCCCCCCCCCCGCCGCGGCCCGGCTCGCCGCGCCGCCTCCTCCCCACTGTCCCCGTCCCCCTCCCTCGCTCCTTCCTTCCTTCCAGCCTGCTGCTACTTTACCCGGGCTGCCACCCCGCCTCCCGTCCGGCGGGCGCACAGCGTCGCCCGTAGAAGCTTTTCCGCGAAGTCGCCTCTCCGCCCCTTCCTCCGGCCTCTGCCCCGGCCCGCCCCTGGGGCACGGGGCCCGCGGGGCGCGGGCGCTGCCCGGATCCGCGCGGCCCCTCTCGCGGCTCGCGGACCTCTCGGTCCCCGGCGCTCCTCTGCTGCCCCCTGCAGAGGGGCCCCTCTCCAGCGGGCTTTGGGATTTCTTTTTTTAGGAACAGTATTTGCGTGGTTTCGGTGCTTTCTGAAGTCTGCACGGTATCTGAATCTTATTTCCAAATAATCACCAAAAGAATCCCATTTCATCCATTTGACCTACCCAGTTCAGACGTAGTGTAGAGGCTTCCCATTCTTGTAGTAAAAACAGACTTCCGAAGAACCGAGAAGACGTTTTAGGGATAATTTGATCATTCTAATTTTTTTTTTTTTTCCATGAGAGACAGAGAGAGAGGCAGAGACACAGGCAGAGGGAGAAGCAGGCTCCATGCAGGGAGCCCGATCCAGGTCTCCAGGATCACGCCTTGGGCCGAAGGCAGGCGCCCAAACCGCTGGGCCACCCAGGGATTCCCCCTCATTCTAACTTTAAAACAGAAAGAGAAGTATTCTTTTTTTCACTTTAGCAAATCAGATCCTCGTTCTTTTTGCTCCTACTGGATTATGATGAAGAATTCCATAAGTAAACAAAATAAGTGGAAAACACACTGAAAGTTCCCAGTTTTCCCCAAAGTACTTACAGGAAGAATGAAAACCCAGAACCCAAAAGGTCTCCTACCGTTTTTAATGGTATGCTCACTTTCCGGTAAAGTCCTGAGCTATTTTTTTTTTTTTATCCTCTTTATGTAAAAGAACTATGACCAGTTGCCATTATTCCTGTGCTGAATTTTTGGGCTGCATCCTGATGGTTCTCCTATAAATAAGCATATAAGTTCCAAGATAGAGACCTTATTGATTGTTTAGGTTTAGTCATTTGGTTTAACCACTCTACCACTTCTTTGTGCAAAATAGACCCATGTCTTCAAGAAGCAAAGTTCTTGGAATGTAGACTGAAACCAGAGTTACTGGTAAGGTTCTAGACTTATTTTGGCAGTGAAGTAACTTGGGTCAGGTCTTAAGTAAAAGCATTTAATTGCCAGTGGTCTCTCCTGCAGCCCACTATTCCCCTCCAGCGGTCATCATGGAAAGCTGTCCATATGGGGGTTGCTCCTGATCAAAGCCGAGAATGCTGAGCCAACACGGGGACCCCAAGAATCTCCTGGGCCCACAGCACACTTCTTAAGAGTGAAAAATAAACGCTTTGGTTCTCTTAAGCAACGGAGATTATGGAGTTGTTTGCTACACTGTCGTTAATCTATTCTGTCCTGTCCAATAAAATTATTATACTGTAGTATATATCTTCTATAACTTGTTTTCTTATCATTTATATATTTGGATTTATTACATGCATGAACCAGATAGTAAGTTCTTACCACCATTGTGGCACCTGTAGGACCCTACAGAATTATATGCACAGTCCATTATATATTTGATCGCTGAATTTCTAAAAAGGTAAGAGGACAAGACACAATTTTTAAATGTTTGGTAAAAATTATAAGAACATGCAAGTCAATGATGTTTACTAAATGGTGGAGCAGGAAATCAACCTCTGACCCTCAACCCTTCCATTCTCAACTCCACCTCGCCCCCCCCCCCAAAAAAAAGGGGGAGAATATGTTCAGAAAAACATTTCCAATAATCTCCAAGACATATCTCCTGAATAGCCTTGGAGGTACCACCATCTATGATACCTAACAGTGAACTCTTACTTTAAACAAAAAAGAATTATCTTCTAACATCCCAATCTAAATCAGTGGTGTCAGGGTTAATTAGAAGTGATAACATCTGGTCAAATCCTAGTGAAAAATTCATACCACATGAGAAATGTAAGGGCCTGAGCTAGTGTGGTGGCTTAAGCCTGGAAAGGTTTGTTAGCTATCTCTTAGTTTCTTTGCTGCCAAGCACTTTGTGCTCTATCCCTCTGACTCCCTTTTTCTCTTCATTCTGTGCCACCGCCCAGTATCTACTTTTTCTCCCTGCTTAAAAATCTCTAAATGACACATTTTCTGAAGCTCAAAACACAAATCTTGCTAGACTTATATCTGTGGCTCCTGTCCCCCCTACTCCCACATCCACATAACCTCTCTATCCACAACCACATAGGTGCTCGCTCACTATGAGGCTTCATAGGCACCCTCCTCTCTCAATGGCTCTTCCTATCACTCCCCAACTCTGGTGAAATTCTCCTGCCACCAATCCTTCATGACTTGAATACCCATTTATTGTTCAAGACCCAACTCAACAGTCCCTCTTCTGTGAAGATGTTTCTCACCGCCCCAGTTAGTGGCCCTCTCCTCTTTGTTCTTTTTTATTTTTTTTATTTATTTTTTATTTATTTATGATAGTCATCACAGAGAGAGAGAGAGAGAGGCAGAGACACAGGCAGAGGGAGAAGCAGGCTCCATGCACCGGGAGCCCGACGTGGGATTCGATCCCGGGTCTCCAGGATCGCGCCCTGGGCCAAATGCAGGCGCTAAACCGCTGCGCCACCCAGGGATCCCCTCTTTGTTCTTTTTTTTTTTTTTTTTTTTTTTTTTTTTTTTTTTCATTTATGATAGTCACAGAGAGAGAGAGAGGCAGAGACACAGGCAGAGGGAGAAGCAGGCTCCATACACCGGGAGCCCGACGTGGGATTCGATCCCGGGTCTCCAGGATCACGCCCTGGGCCAAAGGCAGGCGCCAAACCGCTGCGCCACCCAGGGATCCCCCCTCTTTGTTCTTTTTTAATGCATTCCACTATTATAGCTCTTAATGCATTCTTTGTAATTATCAGGTGATTTATCTGTGTGCCCCTCCTCCCCACCAAGAGGGCATTTTGAGAGAGGGGTTATTTTTTTGTTACTGTTCCATATTTTCCTTCAGCCAAGTGGCTGACATATAATAGGTTCTTAACAAATGTTGAACGAGGGACTCACGGGTGGCTCAGCAGTTGAGTGGGTGCCTTCGGCTCAGGGGCATGATCCCAGGTATGGGATTGAATCCCGCATCCCGCTCTCTGGGAGGAGCCTGCTTCTCCCTCTGTGTATGTCATTGCCTCTCTCTCTGCGTATCTCATGAATAAATAAATAAAATCTTTAAAAATAAATAAATAAAATTTAAAAAATAAATGAATGAATGAATGAATTGAATAAATAGCAAATTAGAATTGAAGAAACCAAAGGCTTAAAAAAGAGAGTTTTAATACATAGAGCTGATACACCAAATGATTTAATTAGCTATTTCATAAACATACTAAATATATCTACCAGCTAACTTATACAGTACTGGAAAATTATAGGATGCCTCCCAACAATGGTAGTGGAGATCTGAGTAGAGTTGACAAAGACAGCACAAGCATTTATGACTGAATAAAATTTTGAGATGATAATAGGGTTTTTCCTCTATTGTTCCTTTGTTCCCTCTGACCTTCCCTCAGCCAGGACAGCCAGGGCACTGCATCTTCTCTGCTCCAGGGGAAGGATGACACAGCAAAATACAGATAACAAAAGAGTCCATTCTTAGCCTTGAGGTCTCAGAAGCTAAGGACCTGGCAAAGGCAAAAAAGATTTAGAGTATGTGCTTGGAGTCAGTTTGTCCTGCTCTAGATACTTTAAAAAAAAGTTTTCCCCAACTTGGGAGATGAAGAAAGAATAAATAAGAGGTAACTACTAGAGAACCAAAATATAATGTTATGACTTTCAAACCAGTAGAATATTTGTCCAACCAGTGGCAAAGGAAAGGGAACAAGAAGAAAAATAAAAGGAAACCAAATTAAAGTATGATAAATAGAAAATTTAAAAGAAAAAAGGAAAATTTAAAATAGTATAGCTGAAGCAACTTCAAAATAGTAACTATAATGAATGCAAATTAGTCTAACCCACCAAAAGATAACTAAGTATAATCAATCTATAAATTTGATGAATAGAAAACCCAAAATTTTTTCACAGAGTACCTGTGAAAGAAACAAAAATTGAAAATGCTCTGTGTCACACAAGAAGCCCATAAATTGCAAAGAATCGCTAATCATATAGATCATGTCTTCTGATTATTATTCATGGTAAATTTTTTAAAAATACAGATTTAAAAATCATATCTGAAGAGTAAAAACATAATATTTAATAATCCTGATTTTAAAAAATTATAAAAGAAAATGTTAATACATGGAATTCTTTTTTTTAAGATTTTATTTATTTATTTATTTATTTATTTGAGAGAGAGAGCAAGAGCGAGAGAAGGAGCATGGGTAAGGGGAGAGGCAAAGGGAGAAGGAGAAGGAGAAGCAGACTCCCCCT